GAGAGGAAACAAAGCGCCTTGACAAAGGAATTAGCATATAATTTAGCATTGAAATGACTGAGTGATTAGCTTGTGACTGGTCACAGGAATGGCTATGTTAAAAGTTAAAGCATGCACATCCGCAGAGGCACCCCTTGACAAAGGAATTAGCATAGAATTTAGCATTGAAATAGCTAAGTTAAAGCATACACATCCGCAGAGGCACCCCTTGACAAAGGAATTAGCATAGAATTTAGCATTGAAATAGCTGAGTGATTAGCTTGTAACTGGTCACAGAAATAGCTATGTTAAAGTCAGAGCATACACATTCACCGAGGCACTTAGTACAAATCAAAGGAGAATTTAGCATTGAAATAACTAGGCGAATTTAGCATTGAAATAACTGAGTGATTAGCTAGTGACTGGTCACAGAAATGGCTATGTTGAAGTCAAGGCCTACACATCTGAGCTATTCACAGTACTATATAGGGAACCAATAAAAAACTAAAATATAAATTACCTTAATGTTATCAATAAACTCTATATTCTCCAATCAGCTAAGCTACCAACAATAAGTCGTTATATATCACAATGCTATATCGCGAAAAAATGGGTGGATTCTTACCCTCAATTTTAGCAACACGGATAGCTACGGGCCCCGTTCAGACGGACGAGTTCATCCATGGTCGGAACAGAGGAGGGGGAGAGAGACAGCTGCGAGGCGCTATTATACTCCATGTTGTAAACCATACCATTAACCGTGGTGTGAGAGGTATTAAGAGTCAATGCTGGCGAAAGAGCTGCGGTCTGAAGGTCATCGTAAAAAACATCTTTCCAATGGTTACTAAGCCAGAATCCATCTTCTCGGTTGAAATTGTCTCTGTGCTTGTATATGTGAATGGCCTCATGAACGAATCTCTCATGGTAGCCGGTTGGTTTGCAAAGAACCTCCGTCTTGGAGAAGTCAATGTCATGTGAGCCCACTGAATTATAACACTGTTATAACACTGTTATAAGTCAATGTCATGTGAGCCCACTGAATTATAACACTGTTATAACACTGTTATAATTCAGTGGGCTCACATGACATTGACTTCTCCAAGACGGAGGTTCTTTGCAAACCAACCGGCTACCATGAGAGATTCGTTCATGAGGCCATTCACATATACAAGCACAGAGACAATTTCAACCGAGAAGATGGATTCTGGCTTAGTAACCATTGGAAAGATGTTTTTTACGATGACCTTCAGACCGCAGCTCTTTCGCCAGCATTGACTCTTAATACCTCTCACACCACGGTTAATGGTATGGTTTACAACATGGAGTATAATAGCGCCTCGCAGCTGTCTCTCTCCCCCTCCTCTGTTCCGACCATGGATGAACTCGTCCGTCTGAACGGGGCCCGTAGCTATCCGTGTTGCTAAAATTGAGGGTAAGAATCCACCCATTTTTTCGCGATATAGCATTGTGATATATAACGACTTATTGTTGGTAGCTTAGCTGATTGGAGAATATAGAGTTTATTGATAACATTAAGGTAATTTATATTTTAGTTTTTTATTGGTTCCCTATATAGTACTGTGAATAGCTCAGATGTGTAGGCCTTGACTTCAACATAGCCATTTCTGTGACCAGTCACTAGCTAATCACTCAGTTATTTCAATGCTAAATTCGCCTAGTTATTTCAATGCTAAATTCTCCTTTGATTTGTACTAAGTGCCTCGGTGAATGTGTATGCTCTGACTTTAACATAGCTATTTCTGTGACCAGTTACAAGCTAATCACTCAGCTATTTCAATGCTAAATTCTATGCTAATTCCTTTGTCAAGGGGTGCCTCTGCGGATGTGTATGCTTTAACTTAGCTATTTCAATGCTAAATTCTATGCTAATTCCTTTGTCAAGGGGTGCCTCTGCGGATGTGCATGCTTTAACTTTTAACATAGCCATTTCTGTGACCAGTCACAAGCTAATCACTCAGCCATTTCAATGCTAAATTATATGCTAATTCCTTTGTCAAGGCGCTTTGTTTCCTCTCACACAGCTTAAAGGTCGTGATCTGAACGTGGCTTTTTCACTCCAGCGCTGTCCTACCAGACAGTCTCGTCCCTTCACCTGATGAAGGCCGCTTGTGTTCTGGCCGAAACGTCGTGAGAATATTATTGTGTTATTTTATTTTATCAATGTATTATTTTATTCTCATTCTACGTGACTTTACCGAAAGAACCAAAGAAGATGAATCATTGCAGTCACGAAAGCTTTAAATCAAAATTCAGACTTATAAACTTAATAATGTTATTAGAAAATTTTGATTTAAAGCTTTCGTGACTGCAGGGATTCATATTCTTGGTTCTTTCGGTAAAGTCACGTAGAAGGGAAACAATAAAATAATAAAAATATAAAACAATAAAATTCTCACAACGTTTCGACTGCAACAGAAGCAATCATCATCAGGTGTGAAAAACGCCACTTTTTTCAAATTTTCATGCTGTGGTTTTCACACCTGATGATGATTGCTTGTGTTGCAGTCGAAACGTGAGAATTTTATTGTTTAATATTTTTTATTATTTTATTGTTTCCCTTCTACGTGACTTTACCGAAAGAACCAAGAATATAAACTTAATGTTATTATTTATTTCCATTTAGTGACTCGCTTACCGTTTTCTCTATTTTGCACTCCTATCGGTTTTGTTTGTTTGCTGTTTTGACTTAATGACTCGCCCTTACTGGACATCTGTTAAAAAGAGCTTCATAGCTCATCGGATTCCTCCTCCTAGTCTAAAATAAAGATTCTGATTTTCAGGTACCCTCCCACCCCCCACCTCTTTCAAAAGTCTGACCAGTGTTGAAATGTAGGCCAAAATACTGCAGACCTACCCCTTACAGTTTTAAGACCAAATAATAAGAGCCTTTTCTGTCAAGAACACAATTCTTCCTTTTCTATGGAGGCCTGGGAAAGAAAAATAATATACACAAGCAGAATCGATTCTGGTATAACGTAGTTAAACATCGACAGCAAAGGGGCCCTAGTCTAACCAGTAAAAACTCGGAGTTTACGGATTTAACAGCAAATTCATACGATTGTCCACTCTTTATCAACTTTAGGGTCCACACGTTTTCAAAAAGTACTCGGATCTAGTGACCAAGAATAGGATGTCTTATTTGGATTCGGCACCATTGAAAACCTCAGGGTAGAAACTTTCGTAATCACGGGTTGTGTTTTTTTTAAAGCTAAACCGTCAAATTATTTATACCCACAATTGTGGAGTAGCGAAGTCAAAACGTTGGTTTTATCGATTCGAAAGTCTCACGCGATAGAGTCTACGCATGGATACCAGTACGCTTCACGTAAGCACAGCTCTGGCGATGTGTTGCTTATAACAGAATGGCGTTTACAGCAGTACACTTTATAAACACCCATATTTAAGCACAGTTGTGACATACGTCTGAATACAAGCACACCCAAAAGCTCATGTTCGAACTGAATCTTTTTTTCGGGGTCGCTGGCATCTAAATTTCGATTTGAAGCTTTCGTGACTGCAATGATTCATCTTCTTTGGTTCTTTCGGTAAAGTCACGTAGAATGAGAATAAAATAATAAATTTTATTTTATCAATTTATTATTTTATTCTCATTCTACGTGACTTTACCGAAAGAACCAAAGAAGTCGCTGCCATCATTGGGAGTAGGTGTCACGTGACTGGCAACCGACAGCCCACAGCGAGAGGTAACACTCGACGTGGCGCTTTGGGTGTGGAATTATTTTTCCGGTCGCACACTCAGTGCGGGCCTGCCTGAAATTCAAGCGTCGCCTCTCGTCTCATTTCCATTATCCCAGTTCACTTGAATGGGATCAGATACACACCCTTATTTAAGTCGGCGTGAGCTGCTTTTTTCCAAACGCGGTTAGATCACTCCATTATCCCTGTCACCTACAATCCCGTGAATAAAGGTGGAATGTTTAATTAGGACAATGAGGAATTTCACACTCGCTGCACATTTTTAGCCGTACTCTGTTCTGATTGCGGATAATTAATGGGGGTTTAACGTTTCGCTCCCCGCCTCGCCATACAGGGAATTACCGACATTCAGGAATGCCGAGCGGTGGTGGATATGCACTTAGCCTATAATCAAGCACATTGGAGGTGCTATGGGTTGATGGATCGCACAAATGTTGTGAAACTCCCTACCTGTGGGCGTCTATTTGGAGCCATACCCTGGCTCGCCAGGAGAATGCGATACAGCAGAGTGCAGACTAATATAATCTGTCCTTTCTGTATGGGATAGAGCATTTCCCCCTCTCCTGAGTGAATATTCTCCGGGTGCTCTTGTTTCCTCTGCATGTGTAAATACGTATTAATTAGCTGAAAATATCTTAATATATAGAGCACCGCTTATGGCCTGGCTGCCTTCCAGCTTGTCTGTGGTTCCGCGGTCATTGTGCGATGTGATTGGCACGAACAGTAAAACATTAAAACTAAACACATTATTATTAAACGTGAGTTATACTTAATGTGGCGATGTAAAGTCCTCTGGTAGCTGATGGGTTCAATTGACTGCGGTCATATACGAAGGGAACAAAATGTATTCTAACATGCGCGATGCATGCATCGTCAGCCTAAGAATCACTATAAAATGCATGGTTACAGCCCTTTTTAATTACTATGTTCTAAGAGGCATGGCATATAATTTGTGCGTGAATAATAATTGGTAAGCTGGCTTTGCTAGCTCTGTATTGGCTTTCACATTACACGTTCATTTTTCAAAGTTTGAAAATTCAGATTCTGACGCCGGCACACAGTGGCCTAATATTTTAAAAAGACGTCACGGGATCTTTAATGTCCCCTCTGAGGCGGATGGTGCTTGTTTTTTTTTGAGTGTTCAGTTTCGTTGTCCTTCCCCCGCACCCAATGGCGCGAGACGTGGGAGGGGGAACACAGCGGAGTCCCGAACAAGGACGTCATTGAAGATCCGACGAAGTAACATCCCTGTTTTTTTTTTTTTAAATCTGCCCCAACGCCAGTGGTGACAGCTCTCAACCGTGTCCCAACATCACGTGGAGGAAGGTGTGGGGGATATTTCCCCCATTAATGGAAGATCGAGGACTCGCCAAACTGCGAATGCGATGAGATGCGAAACCAACAGGCATATTACTGACGACTGCCCGACACTACAACGCCTGCTCTGGTTGGTGAAGCGGACTCCACTCGCCTACCCCGAATGCTGCCATGGAATGACTTACAATGTTAAAAACACAACCGTAGCCTGTTACTTTTTTTCAACGCCATACGAAAGAAGAACGGAGTTGGCCAAACATTCCAAGTTAGGGCCACAGAGCGTGGACAATTACTGGAGCTGGTTCTGTGTGCTTTCTCACCCCGTCTGTGGTTTCCCGCGCCTCTGGATCTACGGAAGCTGTGCAGCGCGTTACAAATTGGTAACTTTTAACTGTTTTATCTTCAGGTGTAGGTTTTGGCGTTTTTATAGACCTCGGCTTTGGAACGCACTCCCCAAGCTTATGTTTGTAAATGGCTCCTCAAAAGACTTTTTTTCAGTCTCATGATGTATTTATTTAAATTAAAGACAAGTTCGCACTCGAGTAGCCCGTTGTTTTAAGCTGACCTCTAAAATGTATCATAATCCTCCCATTAATCCGGTGTTTGGGGTTTGCTTAGCAAGACACTTCATACTGTTAAGAACGCATAGCTTTGCAGCTGAGCTGTTGGCAGCTTGGATACCTTCACATTCCAACGGCTTAGAGAGGCCTTGAGGTTCACAGTCAGAGGAGAGGCGCGTTGTGCGCTGCGTTCTTTTGTGATTGGACAGCTCGCAGAGCCGTGCGGATACCCTCTCTGGGCGGCAGGGTGGCGTCGCAGTGTTAACGCTCGTGTCTCACAGCTAGATGTTCCCGGGTTCGATTCCCGACTCTGTGTGGAATTTGTCAGTTCTCCCGCTGTTCTGCGCGGGTTTTTTCCTGGGTTCTCCAGTTCCCACCCCCGTTGCGAAGAATAAACATTCAGTGCACGAGAGGTGTTAGCCAAACATCCCACTGTTGGAAAACTTGCCTGCGGAGTTACCCTTTTGGATTGCAAAATAGAAACATGGCCCAATACTGCGAAAACCTGGCAGGATTCTTCTTCAGGAGAAGACTCCTGCCTGAGACTCGGTGAGGCTTTCCTGAGTAAACGAGTGGAATTACAACGAGGCGAGCCACCGTGTCCGAGATCCACCGTGTCACAAGTCTGTGGACAACTTCTCTACTGTCGGCATAGGTGCTGACGGCAGGCGGCACATGAAAAATAACAATAGTTTTTACCCTTACTGGAAATAAAACAGATATTTTATGGTTCTTTCGGTAAAGTCACATAGATAGAAAAAATAATAACAATAAAATAATAATAAAAAAGTGATTTTTATTAAAAAAGTGATTTTTATTATTATTATTTTATTATCATTTTTTCTATCTACGTGACTTTACCAAAAGACCCATAGAATATGAATTCCTGCAGTCACGAAAGTTTTAAGTCAAAATAAAACAGATGTTAAGATATTCATATTCTTAGTTCTTTCGGTAAAGTCACGTAGAAGGGAAACAATAAAATAATAAAAATATAAAACAATAAAATTCCCTTCTACGTGACTTTACCGAAAGAACCAAGAATATGAATCCCTGCAGTCACAAAAGCTTTAAATCAGATGTTAAGATGTTCAAACAGCAAACAGATACCATTTGCGAGCAATCAAGTCTGCATTAACCACACGTAGCACCTGTGGTGAACATGCAAACACGCTCCGATGATCCATGCATTGTTTTTTAACTGATTGGCCTACACCAGGGACAACAGCCTTCTTCATGGCCAAGTTTCACCACCAGTCTCGGACCTGAGAACGTCAAAAGGCAAACCGTATAAAGGCATATTCTTGGTTCTTTCGGTAAAGTCACCACGTAGAAGGGAAACAATAAAATAATAAAAATATAAAACAATAAAATTCTCACGACGTTTCGACTGCAACACAAGTAATCATCATCAGGTGTGAAAACACTGTTTTCAAATTTTCTTGCTGTGGTTTTCACCACCATTGCCATTCGAAACCATGCTGGTAAAGCATGTGGGCTTTCGTGACCAACATTGTCCATAATGGAGACATGTCACGTAAACAAGACACGCCAATTCGTTACTAATTCAGCACACTGGTGTGATGGAGAGTGAACCCATGGCATTTACAATTCGAGTACGACGTTTCACCGGTAATTACAACCAGCCGCATCAGGCAATAGCCAGATTTGTGGATAAATCCTCCTTTTTCGGTCTTAAATACCATGCTGAGACCATGAACTTATGCTGAGACCATGAACTCACGACACCTGAGGATCCGTTTCAATTACAGGCAGTGGCTGAAACTTGGATTTGACCCCAGGATCTCGGCAGTGCCTACTCATCGCTCTTGACCTCTGCACTGATTTTTCTGTTACACTGGTGGGTTTTCTCATCAGTTAAAGATTTGACTACTCCCATCACCATATGTTGGCAAGAGTTCTCTCTCCAAACCCGTGCGGATCAGTTGGTCGTGCAATGAAGCGATCCCGAACTGCACTCGGAAGCCGATAATGGTACTCGCCTCTACGTGGCAGCTCAGCTGTTTTCGTCATCACATTCAGTGAACAATAATGTTAACTTTCGGGAATATATTTCTATATATCGACCGTGTTGTTCAGCAATCTCACGTTGTCGTGACAGTCGCCCGTGAGGTTACAGAAAAGGACACGAACGTCCGATGACAATTGGTTCAGCCACGTCTCCGCTAATCTGCTTAAGCAAGCTGCAGGCCAGAGTTGCGTGTATTGTGACTGCAAAGTTACATTCAAATCAGGGCCCTCAACCTTCATTGCGAGAGCACCCGCTGCTGCATGGCGGTCACCGCGGTAATCCTAATGCCACGGGGAAGCATATGCCACGATGCGTACGGGGTCCTACAGAAATTACTTTCTCGTAAGGTCATCGGCTTGCAGTCACGGGGGCAGGGCCAACAGAGAGGGTATATAATGTTTATTCAACACAATCAGCTGCACAGAGTTGAACCACAGTCGCTTTGAGTTTATTTGTTTTTTTTACATGGATTATCCCGCTTCGCCAGTTACGTGTGTTGAACTTTTTTCGCCCCGTACGTAGCCAGCCGTGCTCATCGAAGGTGCGGGGGAAGGACCACAAACTAAAGAAAATAGTTTTCAATCTATATTTAAAAGTGCACAGCTCCAGTGGCTTCCTAATGTCAGAAGGAAGAGCATTCCAGACGGCTGCAGAAGCGCATCTGAAAGCGTGCGATGCAGCGACCGTCCTTGTGCGATGGCTCAGCCTGCTGCGAGGATGACCACCGGAGTTCGCGTGATGATGGTTTATGCTCCTTGACGAGATCTGCAAGGGATTGTGGGTCATTTGTGGCGGGCACTTTGTGTGAAATGAGTGCGACCTTACAATGTATTCGTTCGGCAACCAGAAGCCAATGCACCTTGGCGAGCACCGGATGGACATGATTAGATTTTGCAGTACCCGTCATGACACGTACCAAACAATTTTGTACACGCTTCAGCTTGGTAATGTTTTGCCAGACGTCCCGTAGAATAGCAATTTGCAATAATCGAGCCTTGTCAATAATATGCTGCGTACCACTATGTTGGCTTTGTCACGACTCAACAAAGGGGATCCGTGGTGCTTGAGCATAGCAACAACAACAACAAGACAAACATCAACATTGCAGAGAACGAGTGTACAGGACCCTGACACGTGCTTTAGATTTGTAGTTTACATATTCTCCCCGTGGTCGTGTGGAATTTTCTCCGGGTACTCCGGTTTTTCCCTCCACATTTAGAAACAACGTGCATTTATAGTATTTGGCTGTTATACATTTCTATGTGATAAGCCACTTTGTTGAGCTATCATTTGTGGCCAGGTCGCTTCTGAAAAAGAGCTATATAGCTCAGTGAGCCTTACCTGGTAAAATAAAATAAAAACCTCTTAATTAAAATAGATATAAGCTACTGCAATGAGCTATTATGGGTGGCCAAGTTGACTCTGAAAAAGAGTTAATTGCTCCGTGGGCCTCACCTGGTAAATAAAATCTTGTTAAATCTTTGCAACGACTCGCGACTGACTCAGTACCATGTCGACCGCTGTATAATAATTAAAGTTTCCGTTATCAGCCTCATAGGCATCTGTGGCACCTCCGCTCTGCCGATGAGCATGGTTGACTACGTACTCTGCGAAAGAAGTTCACACACATACCTCGTTGAAGGGTGAAAAATGCGGATTCGAAAATACAATGTTGCATGTGTCAGAGCCGATTCCGACTATTTGGGGCTGTCCCCGTGCAGACGATGAGACCATCAATGGCGGCACCCGCTACTTCCCAGCGGTGTAGCTGTCACGTTGACAGCGTAGTAAAGTTAATCAATAATAATAATAATAACAACGGCAATTTCTATTGTGCCGTAACATGGCAAGCCATTAAACTAACGCATATTACCTCTTAATTAACTCAGAATTCCATCCCTGCCACCCTCTCAGTGCCCTAAATTGATTAATTCATTAACTTATTAGCCGCAGGAGCACTTCCCGTCATCCCCAGCGGTAAGCTTTTTGAGTGACTTATTTTGACCCCACGATCTGTCAAATTATATATCCCCCCCCCTCCCAGCAAAACCATAGTCACTCTCTTTTTTGTAAAGTCTGTTTGTCAGAAACCTGCGAGCAATTTTATGGCTCATCAAATCTGATCGATCACTCACCCAGTGTCCATTCCACTCAGCACATCGACTTGATTTTCAATAACTTCATTTTTAAAATAAAATTTTCCTTTTTCAATTTTATTCCAGTTCTACCGATGCCATGAGACAACGTGTCAATTCTAATATGCCGCAGAGCATTGCAAAACCCCTTTGTTAGAGCACGGCCCGTGGAAGTAAATATCAAAGAAGTACTTTCGAGACCACTTCAAATTATATTTTTAAACTCGCATGAGTGGGGGGCTGTGCTTTCCCACATGCCTCGCTGCAGAGGAATGTTCGTCACGTGCCAAACATTCTCAGAGCTGGCGTTTTGGTCAGATGAAGTGAAAAGGTTCAATTTGTTGATTTGCAACCAGGCTGAAGCTATCAACTCACTCCAGTTGAAAATTCGGTTCGATCGCTG